ATAATTCTTTAGCCAAGATTCCAAATAAGGAATATTCTTGATTATACTGCTGGTTCTTTTTGATGATCTCTTTGTGCATGCTGTGATAATTGGCATTCTGTGGGTTGATAGTTCCTGGATACCTAGCAGCCAAATGTTGCTCTGGAAAACAGACAGTGCAGGAAAGGGTATATCTAAAATGTAAATCAAACAATTCAACTGGAGTCGATTCTGGTGTCTACATAATATTCCTTGAGGTTATGTTTGCAACAATATAGCATATCTGTTTATTGACTCAAGGTCGTTTTCATTTCTAAATGAAAATCAAATGTTGTTGGAATATCTTGGTTTAACTCAGTGTGTGAATATAGTATTTGGGCTTTTTAAAAAAGAGATGCCTGTTTGTTTGAACCTCCAAATAGCAGCCATCAACAGAAACCAGTTTGGTTTCTGACCTGCTACATTTAGAACTCTGCACACATAAAAAGTTGTAATGACAAATTCATTTGGAGACAAAGAGTAGGATGCAGAGAACCAAACACAGATCACATCCTTTCTGCTGCAAATTCCAGTGCTTCCCTAAAGCAATTCCTTAGAGCTGTGGGAACATGTGGGAATTGCTGGTGGGAATTGCAGTCTCCCCAAAATAGCTAAGGCTTTTTCAGTGATACATATCTTAATGATTTATATCTTAACTCTTCTTCCAGTTTGACTGAAGGTCTCTGGAGCTGCTTATAATTTGTAAAGGGATGTAGACTTGTCCACACTTAGACGTCTATTTCATCTTGCATGCATGCATGTGAAAATCAAGTCACAAAAATCTTAACAAATGCACTGAATTTTTTTTTCCTCCTCTCTTGCATGAAGCAGACTAATTTTCTATCAGCACACTCAGCCCGGGATGAAGCCGCAAGGCTGGAAGAGCGCAGGGGAGTGATTGAATTTCATGTGGTTGGAAATTCCCTAAACCAAAAGCCAAACAAAAAAATTATGATGTGGCTGGTTGGCTTACAGAACGTATTCTCACATCAGCTACCCAGAATGCCAAAAGAGTACATTACTCGTTTAGTCTTTGATCCGTGAGTGCCGTCTTTTATTTTCTTTGCATCATTCATTGGGGTTAGGGTTAATAAAAATCACCAAGTTCTCAACTTAGCAAAGTATAATTCAGGTCTCAGTATACATTTAATTGTTAGATTAATTGTTAGAAAATAAACTGAGAATGCGTAATTGTAGTAGTTCTCTGCTGCCAACATCAAGAAATAGTTCAAAGTAGGCTACAGAAAAATAGGTAGATTTTCAGAAAATCTGGCACTACTAACAGGTAAACCTAGTACTAGCACACTTATTATTTATTATTCTCCTTTATTTACAAAATATATATCCAACCTTTCTGCCATCTCAAAGGCCATCAAGGTGGATAATAATTTAAAATATATATGATACAATCATATTTTAAAGCCATTAAAATCAACCACTCTCCCAAAACGTATTAAGACATTGGAATGAATCTGTGAAACTGCATTCTAAATTATGTGTTTCCACTGAAGTAATTATGACTTTGATTCAAGGATTCCTTTCTGCACTTTATAGCACCTGAATTTGCTTATTATTTTGGAATCAAATGGCTTCACTAAATCTGAGTGCCCAAGAACTCCTCTGTTGTTAGCCCAAACCCTAAAACTAGCAAATTAAATAATGGACTCTTACTGTTTATAATATAGATGACAGCTTTTTGCTCTGTTCTCTGAAGTCAATAGCAAGTAGCTTAAAGGGACAGAGCGTCATGGTTCAAAAACTTTCCCAATTGAAGTGGGATCAAAACAATTCCTTGTTCAGTTAAGAGAATTTTTCAATTGATTTCTCTTGGAAGTGCTTTATGTATTGTATGTATGTTTTTGATTGTTACAAATGCGAATGAATAAACTGTTACAAGTTGGGAGTTTAAGTGTACCACAAATGGGATAAAAAATGCAATAAGAATTTTCAGTGCCATTCTGAGCATTAATTTCAGTGACTTAGAACGGGGTAACTCTGCTTAGGATGGCACTGCTTATATGTTAAAAGTGGCCTGATCTCTTAGGTCATCTTTTTATCTAAAACTATCAGCAGGGCTATTTTTGGGCAGGAACGCACAGGAACGGAGTTCCGGCTGGCTCCCAAGTTGGCCACGCCCAGCAGGAACTCATTAGCATAATAGGCCACACCCAACAGCAGAAACTCATTAGGATTGGCTACATTAGGGGTGTGTGGCCTAACATGCAAAGGAGTTCCTGCTACAAAAAAAGGCCCTGGGTTTTGACAACAAACAAGGTAAACAGAATAACAAGCAAAAGGTGTGTGTGGCTGGATAACCACACTTCTGGTAACATGTGGGTGCGACCTAATGTGCTAATGAGCTGTGCTGTCAGGGGTGTGGCCCAATATGCTAATGAGTTCCTGCTGCTGGGTGTGGCCTATTATGCTAATGAGTTCCTGCTGGGCTTTTTCTACAAAAAGAGCCCTGAATCAGCATTAGTGCCCTTTTAATTTCTAATGTAAATTCTTACTAAAATGGTGTTAGTTGTCAGTGAAAAAGATAATTATATAAAACTTTCCTAGCATCTACTTTCTATGTGGAGCATAATGCATAAAAGGTATTTATGACAGTCCTAATGCCATGAAAAATAGCAGCACCTATGTGTGTTTGTGTTTATAATTGTATATATATATATATATAATAATTGTGAAATGAAACTGATTTAAATGTATATGACTACAGGAAGCATAAGACCCTTGCATTAATAAAAGATGGCCGTGTGATTGGTGGTATCTGTTTTCGGATGTTCCCATCGCAAGGATTTACAGAAATAGTTTTCTGCGCTGTGACTTCTAATGAACAAGTCAAGGTAAAGACGATGTTAGTGGCAACAGTGAAAGCATAATTGAATTCTGTGAACTCTTCTGAAAGATTTGGAAGTAAAGGGACAGAGCTTTCATGAAAACTAGTGCAGTTCTCTCTGTGAACACAATGGGTTGTCTTGTCTCTCCTTCCCAATGGAGCCCCTGATGCATGTGCCCCCCCCCCGCAAAGCAGCTTCTTGGGGGGCCTCCACAGCAGAATTGACGTGGCATGAAGAGCTGAGATTAGAAAGGAAAACTGGCAGCCTTCCTTCCTGCAGGTAGAAACACAGAACTCTTTGAGTCTCAGGGAAAATATTTGTTTAAGAATTATTTTAATGTTCAGTTTCTAAAATGTGAGCTTCAATTTTTTAAAACTTTTGGATTCTTTAAAAATTGTGCTAATACTTTCTATACAGGGTTATGGAACCCATCTAATGAATCATCTGAAAGAATATCACATTAAGCATAATATTCTCAACTTCCTTACATATGCTGATGAATATGCAATTGGTTACTTCAAGAAACAAGTAAGTAGTCTGAGAGGTTTTCATCAGTGCAAGGGACTATTAATTAGTAACCA